CAGGCTCCAGGCTCTGAGCCATCAGCCCAGAGCCCGATGCGGGGCTCGAACTCACGGACCGCGAGATCGTGACCTGGCTGGAGTCGGACGCTTAACCGACTGCGCCACCCAGGCGCCCCTGAGGTGCTTATTTAAAATGCCCTCCCGCTCTGGGCTGATGGCTCAGAGCCTGGAGCCTGTTTCCGATTCTGTGTCTCCCTCTCTCTCTCTGCCCCTCCCCTGTTCATGCTCTGTCTCTCTCTGTCCCAAAAATAAATAAACGTTGAAAAAAAAAATAAATTAAAGAAAAAAAAAAAAATAAAATAAAATGCCCTCCCATTCCTGGGTGGCTCAGTCGGTTAAGCATACGACTCTCGGTTTTGGCTCAGGTCATGATCTCAACAGTTCATGAGATTGAGCCCTGGGTTGAGCTCTTTGCTGACAGTGTGGAGCCTGCTTGGGATTCTCTCTCTCCCTCTCCCTCTCCCTCTGCCCCTCCCCCTCTGCCCCTCCCACTCCCCCCCCTTTCAAAATAAATAAATAAACTTTATTTATTTATTTATTTAAAAAAAAATTTTTTTTTTCAACATTTATTTATTTTTGGGACAGAGAGAGACAGAGCATGAACGGGGGAGGGGCAGAGAGAGAGGGAGACACAGAATCGGAAACAGGCTCCAGGCTCTGAGTCATCAGCCCAGAGCCCGACGCGGGGCTCGAACTCACGGACCGCGAGATCGTGACCTGGCTGAAGTCGGACGCTTAACCGACTGCGCCACCCAGGCGCCCCTAAATAAATAAACTTTAAAATGCCATGCCTACTGAGTCTGGGGCCTGGGAATCTTTCACTTTAGCCAGTACCCCAGGGAATGCTGCAGCACACTAAAGTTTGATAACCAATAACTTAGCTTAAAATCCAAACCTCCATAGCTGGCATTCAAGGCTTTGCGAAGCTTGGCTTCCTTACTCCCCAGCATTATCTTCCCTTGCAGTCAGACTGAAGGGTCCTCTAACCTGCTCTCCAGCCTGGGCTTTTGCTGTCCCACCCTTCCTTAGAATCTTTCCTTTCTCCCTTCAATCTATGTGATGCCAACTGAGCCTCAAGACTTAATTCAAGTCCCACCTATTCCCCAGAGTCTTCCTGATTACCCCAGCCCATATTCCAAGGGTTGCTCCTTTCTGACATCAATGTTAAATTGGTGGCTCCTCTATTATGGTTTGTCACTTGCTGTGGGTTCATGTCATTCTCCTGACCACCTGTGAAATCCTGGAGAGCAGGGTTCACATCTTTTTCTCTTGCATCCTCCTCAGTACCAAGGATAAAGTCTAAGTCTTGGGTAGGTCCTTAGAATCAGGTTGCTAATAACCAAATTGAGGGAAAGATGGGAGAAGAATAGTGTAAAAGAGAGGGGAGAGAGAAGAGGAAGAGGATTGGTTATGGCCATGGTAGCCTTTGTGTAGGGCACAGGACCTTTTGGTTGAGTCTGAGATGCTGGCTCTGTGGATGGGTGTTGTTAGGATGACCATCCTTCCCTTCCCCCATTAATATTTGCATTTAGGGCTGGACTGCTTTGGGGTCCCTGCCTCCTCGTGACAATTTGCAACCACAAATTTACATAGAAGGGAAGGAACATCCTGAGAGGGGAGACAGGGCCTTGCCACCTTGCCATATTCCTCGTTTGTCATTCAAAGTCACGTACGGTGAGCGTTGGGCTGGAGGTATGGGCAGTGGAGCCAGGCTCTAGGAGAGTATGACTGTGTTCCTGAGGTAGTATGTGGACTTCTCCCTGAGGCTCTCAGTGGTAGCTCCCTATAGCTCTTTTGTGGCCTACCCCAGATTCCTCCAATGACATCTGCCCAGCTATGCTTGAAGCAGTTGAGACTAGCAAGCAGGTCTGTGGGGGAGAAAAGCATCATGGATATTTTATAATAAATATAAATGAGATTTCCCTTGTAGGCCTAGGAAAGTGAAGCCTGCCATATTCATGCTGTTTCCAGATCCCCTTACACCGTCCCCTCCGTCTGGAATGCTCTCTCCCAGGCCACACTGCTTGACAAACTCCTCAGGGAGACCTGGCTAGACTACCCAAAGTGGAAATAGATTCTGCTTGGAGGCCTCTTGAACAACTCTATCTCCCACTCTGACCATGATTACCTTCTAGGGTGGCAAAGAGAAAAGAAGATCATATTCAGGCCAAAGGTCTTGAAATTGCTTCTTTATTTCTGTCTTTCCATATTTCACTGATAAGGCTGGCAACCCTGAGTGCCCCACCTCAGAGCATCTTGGCTAGTGGGTCCCCCAGATGGTGTTGAGTGGTTGCATACTGCACAGAGGGACGGCTCTGAGCCTTCCGGGATAATTCTCAGCCAGGAGTTGTCTGTCCCAGCTCAGACAAAGGACGTACTCAACCACAATGGCCATGGAACAAAAAACAAGGCAGCAGATGGAAGAAGAGCTGCAAAGATAGCAGTTGTTGGAGCAGCAAGGAAAGAAAGGTCAGTGACCCTATGAAACATAAGCACAGTTTGGCTGGGGAGAGCCGGGAACCACAGAGCTGGCTCCTAAGGGAGGAAAAATGAAAAGAGAAAAATCAGTGATGCGGGAAGCTTCTCCTCACTAGCATCCTTTAATGGCTGCAGGGGGAGGGGGAAGGACATATTCTGGAGCTGGGAATATATTAGCTGCCGGTGTTACCAAGGGAGTTGTGGAGCGCCCGCAGGCCTCTCAGGAGATGGTAGATAATTATGGATGGGTCTCTGGTTTGATAGAGCTCTGCCTCAGGGTGAAGGATGGAATACATATGACCCCTTCAAGCTCCCCTTATCTGTACCAGAGCAGGTCACTGCAAAACAAAGAGAATTCAGGAGGCTGCCACATAATTTTTTGTGTTGCATGCTTCCTTTAGTTTGTCCTTTAGATTTCTGTCAGAAATCTCCTGACAGAAGTGCTAAGTGTTCAAAACCAGAATGAATTTGGGGATTTCACTACACCCACTCCAACTCCTTGCCCCTTTATTTAAAATAATAATTAAAACTCCAATCTCCTGAAATCCTTAAGACAGAGGCTTTATAGTCAACAAGAACATCATCTTTAGCTTTCATTAGAAATGTCTTGCATTTCTCTTTGGTTTTAAGGGAGGGTGGTGTACACTGGAATATTAATGCAGAGCATTTAGATTGAGGCTCTTAATTTGAAAAGAATGTGAGAATTAATGCTTGAGTTTAATCGGAGCCTGAATCATCACAGATAGATTTTTACCCTCTTTTCCTTAATCAATTTCACCCTAATTAATTCTTCTGTGGCTAAGTCTTGTTACATTAGATAGTCTGCTGATTATTTCCACAATCAAGAGACTATATTCATGCATTTTTAATAAGGAACGACTGCATCCTTTTTCATAAGTGATCCTGCTGGTTGGCAGTTGCAGCCGCTAAAATAATTATAGAGCAGATTACTTACTTTTAAAGCATTGTTTGCTGTCATATTCATCCTAGGTGACAATTTGGAAGAGCTCCGGAGGCTGCTATAATCGGGGAGAGGAGCAGGGTATTTAATGTGGCAATTTTCAATGTCAAGTGCTATTTATTCATAGGTCAGTGCCTTTTTAAAAAAAAGTAAACACAGGGATAATTTGGTCCTGCTGGCTGATGAAGCCATGTGCTAGGCTGCCTGGCACCTTCTGCCTTCAACTATGACTGGTCCAAATATGGTTATTCATGTCTGATCATTACTTATATGATGGGGTGCTCTCTTTATCAGACCCTGATACCACTGCAACTTGGAGGGCTTGAAGCAGGGAACACAGTAATTCCAAAGCCTCAGCTATTTTCTGTTTAGCAAAGGAAGAGGAAAATCTACCTACCAGAAAAGACCGTTTTTTTGTTTTGGGAAAAACACTGGGCTTTTTGGTTATGCAGAGGAAAACTCAGAGCTGATTCTAGAATGGACAAATGGAGACAAGAAGAAATAAATGGCTGTGCATACTAATATAGAAGGCTGTCTTTCCAATGGGCAGACAAAGCTACCACACTCACTGCAGAAGTTCTTCTAGGGTTCACTTTGTGGAGGAGGAGCTTTCCTCTTCTCTAGGAAAAAGACAAAGAGGTGGGGGCTGGACTCCAGGTAGGGGAGTCTGGCCAAGGGCCCCCCTGTCTGGGAGTTAGGTTAGCTCTGTAGTCAGATGGCAGGCGTGAAGGCTGTGGAGGGAGAAGGCAGGCAGGGGACCCAGGCCATGGGTCAGTGGGCTCTAGGAGAGTTTATAGGCAGCCTCCTCCAACTTTTTTTTTTTTTAATGATTATTTACTTATTTTGACAGAGATTGAGAGAGAGAGAGGAGGGCAGAGAGAGGAAGAGACAGAATCTCAAGCAGGTTCCACGTTGTCAGTGCATAGCCCAATGTGGGGCTTGATCTCACAAACCACTGCAAGATCATGACCTGAGCTGAAATCAAGACAAAATCAGATGCTTAACCAACTGTGCCATGCAGGCACCCCCAACTTAATTGTCTTTATTCTGTGATTGTAACTCTCTTTTGCCAATCCCCAGCTTTCAGCAGTTTTATTAACTTACAGCTTTAGCAAAATAAGAAGCTACAGCCACACTTGCAACACAGTGGGGCAAGGGAATGTGATCTTCCCTTAGACCTCCTCCCCTACAGCCTGCTCAAGAAAGCACGATCGTCTTGGAGCCTGTGTGAGGGGTCACAGATTGGCCCTGGGGAAGGAAGGGACTCATGAGGATCCATGTGGAGATAGAGACTCAAGTTGAGGCCTCACTCAGGTGGGCAGGTGCAGAAGGGGAATGAAACAAACTTCTGTCACTATATACCGGAGAGAGAGACCTTCAGAAGGAGAAACTACAGTGTGCAAATTACACAGGCCTGGGTTGTTGGCTAGCAGCCATCTGGGTTGCCCTTAATACATACTGAAGTTGGCCAGAGTCTCAGAGGTTGTCCTGCTCTCTCTACTCTCCACACCAGCTGTTCAGGGAAATAGCCAAACTGTAGCAGCCTCCAGCTCCTTTCCCAGGAACATCACCGCCAGCTGCTCTGCAGAGCCCTGAGCCAGTAACTAGAGGCGTCACTGAACCTTAGGTCATTACTCCACCCCTGCTGCAGATGAGGAGACTGAACAGTTCTGAGACAGTTACTATCTATGGTGAAATGATCAAAACAGGTATCCTTAGACTACTGAAGGCATTGAGGAGATTGGAAGGACAAGACCTGAATAAATATTTGGCGACATGGTAAATAAATGGCAAGCTGGCTGGGTGTCCTGAGCCAGCCCTCCAACCTCTGTTTCACAGAGAGGGAACTTAGGCTCAGAGAAGTAATGTGACTTGCTCAAGGTCACTCTATTGATGAGGAACAGGTTCAGGAATTGGGTCCCAGGTCACCACTTCCCAACTTAAATCTCCTTCTGTATAGCCCATCCCTTAAGTGAATTCTTTTTTAGCTAGAGACAGGGAGCTAGCTCTCAGCATGAGAGAGAGAGAGAGCTTGCAAGCAGGGGGAACAGCAGTGAGAAAGGGGGAGAGAATCCCAAGCAGGCTCCACACTGCCAGCTCAGAGCCTGATGCAGGACTTAAACTCACAAGCCATGATGGGGCGCCTGGGTGGCGCAGTCGGTTAAGCGTCCGACTTCAGCCAGGTCACGATCTCGCGGTCCGTGAGTTCGAGCCCCGCGTCGGGCTCTGGGCTGATGGCTCAGAGCCTGGAGCCTGTTTCCGATTCTGTGTCTCCCTCTCTCTCTGCCCCTCCCCCGTTCATGCTCTGTCTCTGTCTGTCCCAAAAATAAATAAACGTTGGAAAAAAAAAAAAAAATTAAAAAAAAAAAAAAAAAAAAAAAAACAAAAACAAGCCATGAGATCATCACCTGAGCGGACTGAGCCACCCAGGCGCCCCTAATCTTCATGAATATTTCTAAGACCCATTTTCAGCTTTGTCTTTGATCTGTATCCCTGAGGCAAGATAAATGATAACCACTGGAAGGTCAGCTGCTGGGGATATTGGGTTAAAGGAGCTAAGGAAGTAAATCACTTGGTAAGTGAACTTAGAAAGGCCAAGATGTTAAACTCCAAGCCAACCAGGATTTAATTTATTTGTTACTGAGGTCAGTGCCATTTTTACTGCACACTAATAAAAGTCTGAGCTCTGTTGCCAAGATTCAAGAAAAATCTTAGTTGTCTTTTTTCCCCTCCACTAGTAAGAAAATGGAGGCTGTCAAATATGGGAAGGCTGGAAGAAAGGGAATACAGGAGAAAATACAGAATTTTCTTCCCCTCCTCTGGTCTGCACTCTCTGTTTCTGGGACAGATGGAGTCATTTCGTCTTGCTCATCAAGATCATGGCTGCTCTAGGAACAGAGGTCCCTTCCTAGAGGCAATTTCCTTCCTCGTATAGCCAGTGCTTTGGGTCAGAAGGTGGGCAACTCAGTGTTTTGGGAGGTGTGGAGTTCAATATAGGAGACCTCCCATATGTCCAGACCCCTTGATTTCCCTGTCCTCACTCATCTCAGTTGTCTCTTGCCCATTCTCTTGAACTCGTAAAACCACCGCCAGCTCCACATGTGCTCAGTTCACCTTAGTAAGTCATTTAAAAAGTTTTTTCTCCTCCTGGAATTTCCTCTCTGGTTCTCACAGTACTTGCCTGGGATTACACAGATTGTTTGTGTGCCCTAGACCACTTTATAGGCCACTCCTCTGCTCTACCTCTGTCCCTTAAAGAACTGACGAGGCTCACAGGCTGGTGAGGAATAATCAAAACAATACAAACAACGGCAATTAAAATTAACTATCTATTGAACAGCTACTATTTTTGGGAGAGGGGCTTCACGTAGCTTCACTACCTCACAGATTCTTCATCTTCACCATTGAGCTCTGCAAGGTAGCTTTTATTATCCCCGTTTTGTAGATGAGTAAATACATACAGAGAGGTTGAACAATTTGAATAATTTGTCCAAGCAAGATTAACAGTAGCCAACTGAATTGCATCAACCAACCTGCGGAAAGGACTTATGGATGACAGGGGCAATGGGGCAGACTCTCCAGCACTACCTCTGGGGATCAGCCTCCATCCAAAAGCATCCCGGCCCTGGGCAGGGTGAGGCCTGGACTGGCAGGAGGCCACCGAGGCCTTCTGTCAGCTCACTACCCGGGATCACTTCCTCCCTTGCTCTGGCTTCTTGCATGCCATGCAGTCTTCTGACCATAGGTCATCCCCCTGTGTATTGTGTACCTGCAGGGAAAAGGTGTGCAGGCCTGCAGAGGCAGGGATCCCAGTCTTCTGGGCGGTCGTTACTCAGGACTGCACCCACTTGCTGTTCTCTTGTCCTGGAATGCCTCCCCTGCCCCCTCACCTTGGCTCTGTGGAGATGGCTTTAACTTGGCTAAGTGCCCCCCCTTCCTCATGTTCCCATACCTAAACCTAAGTATCTCTTATGGTGCCTATCATTCTCTGCTCTTAATTATTTATGTAGATTTTTAAAATTAATAGACTTTTAGAGCAGCTTTAGGTTTCTAGAAAAATGGAGCTGGCTGTACAGAGTTCCCTCCTAAGCCCTCCCCCCCTCCCCCCATGCACTACCACCATCAAGGTCCACAGTATGTGTGAGCCATTACTTTTTGTTGTACATTTTATGGGTCAGGACAAATTTCTAATGACATGTACCCACCATTATGGTATCATGCAGAGTTTCAGTGCCCTCAAAATCCTCTGTGCTCTGCTGTTCATCCCTCTCTCCCCACTAGCACCTGGAAACCACTGATCTTTTTACTGTCTTCATAGTTTTGCCCTTCCCAGAACGTCAAGTAGTTAGAATCATACAATATGGAGCCTTTTCAGATTGGCTTCTTGTACTGAATAATATACATTGAAGTTTCCTCCATGTTTTTCCATGGCTTAATAGCTCATTACTTTTTACTACTGAATAATATTCCATTATATGGATGGACCACAGTTTATTTCTATCCATTCACCTGCTGAAGGACATCTTGGTTGCCCCTAAGTTTGGGCAGTTATGAATAAGAGGTCCGGGAGTTTGAGCCCCGCGTCGGGCTCTGTGCTGACAGCTCAGAGCCTGAAGCCTGCTTCGGATTCTGTGTCTCCCTCTCTCTCTGACCCTCCCTCATTCATGCTCTGTCTCTCTCTGTCTCAAAAATAAATAAACATTAAAAAAAATTAAAAAAAAACCCTGCCAATCTGTCTTCCAAAATAGCTATACCATTTTGCATTCTCACCAGCAATGAATGAGAATTCCTTTTGCTCCACATCCTTGCCAACATTTAGTGTTGTTGTGTTCTGGAATTTGGCCATTCTAATAGGTGTGGAGTATAATCTCATTGTTTTAATTTGAAATTCCCTCATGACACATGGTGTTGGGCATTTCCTCATATGCTTATTTTGCCATTTGTATTTTCTGTGGTGAGGTATCTATCTGTTTAGATCTTGTGCCCAGTTTTTGTGTTGCTTGCTCCTTAATGTTGGGTTTTAACAATTTTTTGCATATCCTAGCTTAATTCCTTTTCAGATAGATCTTTTGTAAATATTTTCTCCAGTCTGTGGCTTGTCTTTTGATTCTCTTGAAAGATGTTTATGTATCTCCCAAGTAGAATGCATGCTCTATGAGACTGGAGACTGCTTTATTTATAGCTGCCTGACACATAGTAGGCATTCATTAAACATTAGGAAGAAAGAAAGAGGCAGAGACAGAGAGAATTAGTATTCTAATATATATATCAGTGTTTTATTACTTTGGTTGATGTCAGTCTATTCCTAAAAGATAAATCCACCCTCAGCCTATTGACCACATCAAGTTTGGGAGCCTGATGAGGGACAGCCCCAGACCTTGGAAAATTTATCAAGGTAGACTATCGCCTTGGATCTTCCCTTGGAACCGTCCTGTCTCTTGCTACG